GTTATTCTTGTTTAAAATTTTAAAAAAACTAATTAAAAAATATTTGCTTGGTTTCTATTGACTCAACCCCATATATACATGAGCAAATTATTCGAAGTTCGCATCCTAATTGTAGTTTAAGTATGTGTTTTATCTCTGAATTAAATTCACCCGATTCAGAATCCAATTGTTATAATTCAGAATAAAATTATCTAACTTTGGATTTCTTAAGTGGGTTACCCGACTCAAGAATATATAATTATTAATATACTACTGTACTATAACCTAATCTTATTAATTAATAAGTCCTACAACATGCTTGAGAATTCTATAACCAGATAACCTGGTTCTGAATCAGGTAGATTCTAATTAAGGATACGATATCTAATTTTTAATCGATTGTATTTAACGTTAACAAGGATTGGGTGACTGAATTTTAGCTTGCCTGTTACTGTAATTTATAAATTCGCCACGATGACATATATAACCGGATAGAATTCGGGATAATTTAATAATATCCGTTTACAAATCCGGATTAATAGAATTAAAACAGGATAACTATCCGGATATCCGGTTAGATATCCAAGCACTACTGTGATGTGGTTCAATGACCCCACCTGGTATCTTTTTATAAGCCTTAAGCATAAATCATAGGGTTCCGCATGGGCTGGGATATTTTGAAGTCCAGATCCAGTCTATATTTAATTGGATAGATCCGAGCCCAGCCCATGGATCCAAATAGCACAAACTGTACAGCTAATTTTTAAATTAAGTTCGGGTTCGTAATTTTAACAATCATATGAAAGCTATACTTTTGGTCAATCAATTACTATGGACTATCCGTAGTAGATAGATTTTTGGATCTGGATCAGTGTTGGAAACATATATTCACGGAGTTCACATAAATTTTTTAAAAAATCACATAAATAAACTTTATCTAATTAATAAAATTTCATTTGTGATCATTATTTTTTTTTAATGTGAACATAAAAAAAATAAAAGTATGTACACAAAAATCACCATATTGTCTTTTGAATTTCCAACACTGATCTGGACTCAATTATTTATGGTCAAGAATTTTGGTCTAAGCCCATATTGGACCAATCTATGGATGCTCCATGGATAGTTCAACCCATTATATACAATATTACATATTGTATTTCTATTCTTTTATCAAATAACTTTTCAAAATGACTGTTTCGTATATCCAATGTAAAAAATTCAATGAACGCATGTGTGGATCGCACACAAAATTTGCATGTAATCATATGAGTGCGTACATACTTTAAGCTAGATTTTTACACTGATTATATAATTTGAATACATATTGAAATTTGAGACATGCAAATTTATTAAATAAAGTACTAAAGATTCGTTACTCTAGTCGTACAGCATATTTATTTGTAATCTCGTATTGACATGTATTATAATCCCTTTCGATCACTGTGCATAATATTTCTTTATTATGAGAAATTCTCCTCGTATCATAATTTACAGTAACTTGTAAATCATTTTATCTGTTGTTTTGGACAAGATCCGGTTTTATCTTGAAACCTTGGACGGTTTAATTCCGTAGAATTTTATGACACTGTATACGTAAAACAATTTCATTGCGAGTATCTGTTGCTAATGGTTAAAAGTACGTATTTAAGTATCTTGGATCTATGTAGTAGATTGAACGGGTAAATGTTATTTATTACCAAAATGATAACCACGACTTACAAATGTTAATATTTAATAATGCAAAAATTTTCCGATGTGCGTTTATGCACAGATCGAAAAAAAAAGATAGGTTAATAAAACTTTAATTAATTAACTATTATAGTAAGTAAAACCCATCACACGCTCGACAAACCATATTAATATAGTAAGATTTTCCATCTAAATATGTTTAAGTGATAATCTTAATGCTTGTTTAGTGTCACTGTTTATATATAAATTAAAATCAAAACGACATTTATATTAATGTTTCTCTCTTGATTATTTTTAAAAACAATGGATTCTTTTCAAGTAGATTCTTTTCAGCAAATAGATGAACTTATTAAGGAATATTTGTTAGTAAGTTTTTTTATTCATCGAATAAATTTGGAAATGTTTATCCTTTTTTTTTTTTCTGAATATAAATTTAAAATTCCGGTTTTATGGTGATAGTTCAGAGGATTTACAGCTACTTTTCGATCTTTTGAATCAGAATGCCGGGGTGATAAAGACAAAAGATATCAGGTATAATTATCATTTAAATCTTTTAATCATCAATCTTTTAAAAATACATTTTCTTTTATAAATATAGGCTGAAAAAATTATCGAAGAATTATATACATTTATTACTAATAGTGATATAAATGGGTTAATTGATTACTGGAAATATCTTGATCTAAGATATTTCTCGAGATTGGATGCAAGGTTTTTTGGAAGTGTTAATAAATTTGAAGAGAATCTCTTAAAATATTATCTTGTTTATGGTAGTCTTAGAAGTTCATTATTACATTATCTTCGCCATCATTCAGGGTTTTTCTTGACCTTTTGACATGAATATTAATTATTTAATATTATCTATTCTTTGAAAAAATTAGCAACACAACAGAAACGAAAAGAAAAAGTTTTGGAATTTTTTGACACATTTGGAACAGAATTAAATGGAAATTCGGGATGGACAAAATGGTTTGGTAAGAATTTTACGATTGGTTTCAAAATTATCACTAGAATATCTTTACTTATTTATAATATTTTTTTTTTTATTCCTTTCAATCTGATAAATTATTGTTACCATTAATAAGGATTACCATTTTCGAAAGATCCGACAACTGATCCAAATTATGAAGTATTTTTTACTAAACAGTGGTTAGAGAAGTTTACTATATCTTTACATAATTTTCTTAATGCAATATTTCAAAATATGCGTATCCTTTTTCTTTACATCTTATCATGAACGATGCATGATTATTTAACAGCCAATTTACATCTTGTAATTAGTGCAGAATTTTTTAATTTATTGTCTTTAATGATAGATAAATTTATTTTGCGAATTAGCTTTACCAAGTTTAATATGTTTCAATTTGGATCGTCTTCACCGATACGTATTAGAAGATGAAATTCAATCTCTTCAAAATGAAATAGACAGTATTAAAAATGTTAAAGCAGAAACAAAGAGTATTGATACTGAGATTAGGCAAAAGGTTTGATAAATTTTCTTTATTATCTATATGTTTAAAAGGGCCCGTTTTTAAAATTTTCTACTTAAAGTTTCATTTTGTAAATTCTTTTATTATATAATTACTTTTGTGATTTATGTTATTTAATCTATCTTATATCTATTCAAAAATCAAATAAGGAATTTTTTGAAAAATTGTCAAAATGGGTCCTTTTTTAATACGAGGCACCAAAAATATTATCTGTATTTTCTTATTGCATGATATTTTTCATTAATAGATCAACAAACCGCAAGAGTCAACAAACTATATGAAAATGTTACAACGTGCTAAGGCTTTATTCGAGCAAAAAGATAAAAATGTGTAAGTCTTATACTGAAATATATATTTCAATATTGTTTAGTCAATTACTTTATAGCATATCATATTTCAAGTTACCATCACTATACTAGTAAGTGTATAATTCTATATAAATTAATGAATTAATGTTTATTATTATACATTATTCATTTTTTATTTTTTTTATTTTTTTCAGATAAAACCATTCTTTTTAAGTCCTTCACGTTCACAATCCACTACTTCAAATAAAGGATTGGTTGTTAATTCAGATAATAACGTATCAAAGTCTCCTGAAATATACGCAGATGATTTGTGCCTTACTCCGATATCTGAATATGCTATAGATAATTCTCTAGAATTACCCGGTGAAGATATTAATCCGTTTACCATTATGAATCAGGTTTGCCATAAACATTTTGTTAATCCTGTTTTTATTAGTTACGAGACTCTAATTATGCGTTTCATATTTAAAGGAAATATACTTAGAGCATGCATCAGGAATATCGCTTGCTAAATTCTCACACAAGGGTAATTTAATTGCGAGCTGTGATATGGATAGTATTGTTAGGTAAAAATATTGTTATTTCCTTTTTGTCTAAAATTCATTTATGTTCCAGTATATTATAACTAGAATTGGTCAAATCATAAATTTGCTGGTCTTTAATTGAAGGGTCTCTAGTCGAAATTATCTGGTCAAATTGGTCAAGCCTTCTAGTCTATTATTTAAATAGGTGGGTTGTACAAATACAATATTAATTATATATATAATTTGACCAATTTGACTGGTATTAAGCTCGTGAGCCAGACCAGACAAATTAATCTGGTCATGATTGACCGCTGACCAGTTCATGTTAACCCTGATAATAGCGAACAAATTAGAATAATTAATATTAATATCAATATAAACAGTGTATGGAGCTATTCCGGAACACCAGTTAAATGCAAGATCGACAATCTTAATTTAAACGTAACGTGTCTTGAATGGGAATCTAGATCAGATAAGCTTGTACGTTTTTTTTTGTTTTACTCATGTTAAAATATTGTGAGTATTAGGCTTTTAGAGGATATAGGTTCTCAAAAGTATAGGTTATTCTATGGTTTGATTTATGTATAAATCTTAACACTAATTAATTTGCTAATAGTTTTTAATAGGCACAGATGAAAGATTTATCAAAATATTTAATAAAGAGTCACAATCTATTGTTCATGAGTTTCAAACTGATGAACATTTTCCAAGGTATTTATATTGGTGATGTTATCGTTGTGAATTTTACTTAGTTAATGACTTGTATCACGAATAATATTATAATATTATAGAGTGAAACAGATAAATTGTTCACCTGTAGAACCATTATTTGCATGCTCAAGCTCACCTAAAGAAGTTGATGATGGATTGAATAATTTTAATGGATCATTAATAACATGGAACTTAAAGACCATGATGATACAAGTATGAATATTTTTAATGCTCTTATTATGAATATTAAATATGTAAACTAGATAAACAATCTATTTACAGTATAAATGAATAGATATATGAATTTTTGTTTAACTTAAGCCTGTTTATATATTTAACATTGTAGGACAAGTTTATATTTGACCCATCCATATCAAAAACTTCAGGATTACCTGTAGCTCCTATAGAGACTCTACAATTCAATCACAATGGTCAGATGCTTGTTACGGGTGATAGGGCTGGATGCATGCGTATATTTGGTATGTATTTACTTTTTATATGAAATTTATACTCATATTTCATTAAATGCTTGAAGATTTTAAATTAATCCATTTTAAATTATAATTATAGACATTCGATCTTTCAAGCCTATAATGGAATGGAGTTTACCGAAAGTAACAAATATATCTCCAAGCAAGAAAGGAAATAGTGTTATTTGTTCTTCACGATTTAGTTTTGATGAAAATACTGTATATGCGTTTTAGGTGGATACGAAACATCCGTGGATTCGGAATTAGCTTAATTTGATTTCGGACCTTAAAAACTTAAGTGGTAACGAAATTTTGTGCAACTATACACATATAGGAGGTATTCGTCCTACCGTATAGCCGCGGAATAACGCCCACCTGCGCGTTTTTTCGAGTACGCCCACGTGCGTTATTTTGAAATAAGGGTTGATTTTTTCCCTTAATAATAATAGGATTTGAAAAAACGGACCGGAACTAGGTTTGGTACTAAGTAAATCTACTTGTCCCAATACGAGAAACAACTTTTGTTAGGATTCGAAAATAGACTTTCTTAGTACTAAACCTAGCTCCGGTGCACTTCTTGTTTCTTTACTTTTGGAGATGCGCGTTAATTCGAAAACGCCTATGGGCGTTAATTCGAGACCGCATATGCTATTTTAGGGGATTCTGATTTTCGATATAACGCCCATGAGCGTTATTACGCGGCTATATGGTACTTAAAAAATCATATTTTAATTACCAGTTACATACACTTTCTGCTAAAGTTTATAAAATTTATGATAATGATTAAACCTATGATTTTCATTTAACACAGATAGGTTAAGGTAGGGAGAATACTTTCCTACATAGAGTAAATAATTTTCATTAGCTACTGTATTTAAAGCAATCGTATTTTACTGCTTAAAATATTCTTTTATTGCGAGACAAGTTTTAATGATTTGATCAATAAATATCTTGGGAAGAAAATCTTTGGTTCATTGACTGACTGCATTTCATTTACAGTACGGAAGCAATTGATACTACCTATGGCAGTGATGGTAAATAACCTGAAATGACCCAAATGACTATTCATTGGGTCACTTCGAGTCCAGATGACTTAGAAGGTCATTTAACATATGTTAATTGATATTCTGATGCCCTTTAGCCAATCAGAATTTGCCGCCAAACAAAATTAAAATACTGTATAATCGATAATCGTAGTTATATATTAAAGTCAAGTCAAAATTTACCAAGTCAATTAATATTTATATCTTAAATTGTCCGAAATAATAAATCGCAAATATTCTGAAATTTTCATGTAAATTGAAGAACTTATTAATTCACCTCCGCACTTTATATTTATACGAAAGTTAATTAATAAAGTTTATATATAAGTATTAATTGACTTAGAAAGGTTTTGACTTTATATAATAAGGTATATATTATCAATTAGGAAAGTAATAAATTTTTATATGAGCAATTCGACCAATAAAATTATTTTATATGCAAATGACCTAAATGAGCTTAATAACCTGTCATGATTTGCGTCATTTAATGACTGGATCATTTACCATTCCTGGGTTGGGTCATGCATATAAATTTTGGGCCCGAGCATACAAATACCTAGCCCAACCCAGCCTATTTCAAAACCATCAAATGGCCCCGGTCATTTCTAAAAGACCATGATCATTTGGTCACGAGTCATTTCCTAGTGACCCAAAATTGAGATGCTGATAATGACTGGGTCATTTGAGGTTATTTGAAAAATTTTCAAATGACCAGGCCATTTACCATCACTGACTTATGGTGTAGACGAATTTTATTATTATTAGGAACCACTAACTGGCAGAATTGAATTGTAAAATTCAATTCTACAAGTTGTAAACGCACTGGTTTATTATATGGATGTAAATTTCATTCACATAGTGTCGAAAATATCAATGGAGTGAAAATTCGAATGTATTTAAAAAAAAAAATAGGATGTTGGGATAAGGCACACCAAGTTAAAACTCTGTTTAACATAACCCCCCCCCCCCTCTTTTTGACTCAGATAGAGGGGGTAATAAACAACACTTAATATAAAAATCATATTAACTGTTTAAAAAAAATTTTTTTTATCCAATCAAATCTCATGTTTTTTGCCCCCCCTCATGTTTAGAGTTGCAGATCATTTATTAGTGTTATGTTAAACAGAGAATCAAATTGGGGTGGCCTAAGTATGATAAAAAATATATTTTTAAGAATCTTTCAAACTTATATAAAAATTTTTGCAATATATACGTTTATTATATAACGATTTTAATGAATAACCCTTCTTCTAAAAAACAAGACATTTTTATAAAAGTGCAAAATAAATGAAAAACTGTAAAAAGTTTAGATAAAGGCATTATTGAATGTAAAATAAATAGTTATCTAAAGCCCCTCTTCAACCTATTCAATATGCATCTTTTCCATCTATACCATCTTCAACAAATCAATCTATAACTGCAGATGAAGCTAGTTCCTTACCTGTATCAATAATAGAATTAGAAGAACTGCCTCCAAATGCAACAGCTCAAAGAAGTTTGTTAAAAAAGCAAAATATTGCTGAAGATCGGCTTGATGAACTAAATTCATTACTTAATATTACACGTAATCTTAAAAGAAAGCATGATTTCTTGGTTCAAATTACTGAGAAATTGAAGCTGAGAAAAAAGAAAGACAAAGATTACAGAAACATGCCGCTACCCAAGCCAAAAGTCAAGAAAAAAAATGAAAAGCTTTAAAAGAAAAAGGAAAAGTTGTTAGGTATAACATGCCTGGGTGACTATCTTTTCTTCTTTTGAATTATGAACTTTCTAAACAGTTATATTCTACGTTGAATTCGGTAGTGCTGCTAAAAAAAGACAAAAGAAAGTTATTAAAGTATGCACAATTTCTCACTTAAAAAAAGAAATAGAAGAAAGATATCAGGTCTATATGTTACGTACCTGTTTAAATATATATATGTGGCCTAGACGAATTAATTCATTACAATCTAAAAGACACCACCACCCTATGTCAATTCAAGTAAACTCTGTATCAAGAAATGAAATGCCAGAATATATTAATAAACATTATTGTTTGCATATAGTTAAAGGTGCCAAACAGTTTGCATATTCTTTTGCTTCTTATTTTGTAATTATATTACAGGATGATAAAGCAAAAGTTCCTCTAAGTATCCCGGCTATTGGTAGAATATTCAAGACTTTACAAACTATCCAAGAACCAGTAACTATATCTAATCATGACTTTTCAAAAGAGAAAAAACAAAAATTAATTCCTTTAGTTTACTTTACAATTGACATGAACAATTCTAATAATTTATTATATAATAATTAACTATCAATTTTTATCCACCCACAGTGGTCTCTTAATATGTCATCCTTAACCCACATAGCTGACCTATTATCTATGATAAAAAATCCTGTTCTAAATAAAGCATTAAAATGTGAAGATAAGGTTAAGCCAATTCTGGTCTTGTTAGTAGACAGCAGTCCTGACGAAAACCCCAGGTATCTAAAAAACATAAAGGAATACTATAAATTATTTTTGAAACTAAATTTAAATTATTTTACCACTAAACTCATGCCCCGAGACAGTCTGCCTACAATCCAGTAGAGCGTAGTATGTCAACCCTTTCGAGAAAATTGGCAGGTATTGTTTTGCCTATTAACCATTTTGGCTCTTATCTTGATTCTAGTGGTAATATTATAGATAGTAAGTTGGCAAACCAAAACTTTTGTTATGCTGGTGAAAGATTGTATGATATTTGGTAGCAGGACTATATTTATGAAAAAGAAGTGTTAGTTGAATATGTTAATCAAGAAGCTTACATTTTTAGCAAAATTCTAAGTATATCTTGAAGCTAGATAGAAAATCATTGTCAAATATGTTATTACTCTTTGGATATTAGAAAATGCAAAGACCCTACGTGTTGTCTGTATGGAAAGCTAAAGAAGCAGATACCTTGTTAGATGAAAATAATAGATTTTTACCATTAGCTACCAAAAGTTGGAATAGCCATTTTCTTAACTCTATATATATACTCCAATATATAGAACAAACAAAATTTCCAGGCTATGATTAATACTGCCTCTCTATCTCCCCTGAATTATACTTATGATTAGTTTGTTCTATCTGTAATCAATACTTTTTTACTCTATTTTTTCTTGCTCAGTATAAAAAATTAAAACATTTTTCTTGCCGGGGCAGAAAATCCAAACCTTAGGCAGCAACCATGAAGTGTCTTTCTAATTTTGCTCTGAGTAAAAAAATAATATTATGTGTTTTTATTCCAAGCTTTTTTTCTGATATCGAATAATAAATAAATTAAGTGTAAAAGAAATATTCAAAAAAAATAAAGGCGGTAAAGGATAAAATCATACTTTAATCCTCTGCATTCAAAACTTAAATAGCAAAATACTGAAATTTTTACTGATTTTTACAAAAGATAAAAGTTAAAAGCTTAGAAAGATTATTTCTATGTTAAAGCAGTACATTTCACAAAAAATCTAATGTTATTTTGACCAAGCCACAACTTACCATTACTGTTTTTTTATATCCTTACAAAGTAAAAAGCGGCTTTATACATAGAAAAATTTAAATTTAAAAGTGTGTCTTGTATTTGCTTCTATTGCTTATTTATGTATATACGTTGGAATAAATCACCCAAGTTGAATCAAAATATTAATAGCTAAATTAATTCTGAATATACTACTCTATTTAACTGGTTGTATATCAGAATCCTGACACACAAAATCCTGACACACAAAATCCCGGTAACAAAATCCCAATACACAAAATCCTGACAAATTAAAATCCTAAAAATATTAAAATTATGAATTTAATTTGTCAGAATTTTGTGTATTGGGATTTTGTTGCCGGGATTTTGTATATCAGGATTTTGATATACAACCTATTTAACTATATATTCAAGTATGCATATAATACAAAGCTATTTATGCATTTAGTCTAGCCATATATTCTACAAGCATGCATGTATTGCAAAGCTATTTATGCAATATCTAGCTATATATTCTATATACATACAAGCACAATTATATATAACTTACTTTGGAATTAATTTCAATATGTATATATTTAGTTAGATATATATATGTATATATATGCTATATAAAAATATATATATACTATAGACTTAATATTTTAGTTAACCCACCCATCCACTAAAAAATCAGCTGATTTCTGTCAGATCTCTAAGGCAAAAATATCCTCATGATAATAAACTGGCTATTATATACCTCATTAGAATCACCCAACCTTCAAGACCTTCTTCTACCAAAATCTAGATAGAATACTTATCTCTTACTTTTCTATAAGCAAGGAATATATATACTATTTTTACTAACGAATAACTATATCTAGAAGAAATAAAAAAGACCCTAACAACTAAAAACTATTCTAAATATATTTCTATTATAAATAAACAAAGATAAAAAAAGACAAGAAAGTCAGATAACTCTGACGAAAAAAACTACACACTAAAATGCACTATATATTATAATTTGTACCAGATAGATAAAAATTATATGACAATAGCAACATTGTATATTTTTACTATAAAGCTTTGCTTTAATCTTTTTCTGAACTCTATTAATACCAGAAGTTATAGCCAAACCTTTTAATCTGTATCTCAAGTCAGATGCTACCACTATCTGAAAACCTGTATCTCAAACTATCTGCTATCACTATTAGAAGTATCTTAATTATTAACTCCAGACCAAACTAGTAGCACTATATCTGAATTAGGCCAAACACATAGTTGCTATC